TTTTTCATTGGTCTGAAGTGAAGGAGGCTGTTTTGCTTCAAAAGGAAAGAAAGCCATCAGCCTACCGCATGTATGGTAGAGTTTTTCTGAAGCTTGGTAAAATTTCAGTGTTTCCGTGGAAGCAGAAAGATTGCGCGCTGAAGTCATGCAGTTGAAAACAGCTGAAGCAGATGCAAGAATTCAGCTTTCTGTAAGTCAGAACAATGAGAAACATGCGAGGCAGGAAGCCATGCAGCTGCGCTCGAGACTGGAGCAGATGGAAGCGAGGTTTGCTCCTTGTTTAACGTTCACTACTTCAGTGCTTTAATGCTACTTTATAGGTACACCACAATGGAAAAACTTAGAGATGTCGATAGGAACTCGTTGTCACAGTTGGAAAAGAAATACGCTGAGCTCATGAACAGAAAGAATGACGTAGAACGTGAATTGATGGACGAGCGCAAAGCGCGAAAAGAGGACGGTGGAAGACGGTTTGTTTCCATTTGCATAAAAACAGGAATGATTAAATGTTCACATTGTAACTTGGTATCTTATACAAGTTTTTCTGTGTTTTAGCTCTTGCCAATCTTATGCGCAATTGCATGAGCCGAGACTAATGTGCAAAAGCAATTTATACCATACGCAGTTCTTTGCCAAATTGATTATCATCTGCGTTGTGCCATCTAGTGCACGTTTTTGCTTCAAAAAATCGCATTTTATCTGTTAGCTAGCTTTCTCCTGCAGCTATATCACGTAGTTCCGTTAGTTGCGCGTAAACATAAAATTTGTTCTATTATCAGTAGCATATTTCATTAGGCCTCTGCAAAGCACACCCGATTTTAACGTTTAGAATGGACTCTGCGGAGCAGCATCGTGAAAAAGAAAGACAGTTAGAACAAGAAGTCGACAGATTGCGTGCTGAAGCTTCGGCTAGGGAGGAAAGGGTGGCTGATATAGAGAGAGAGCTACACGCACTTCGCAAGTACAAGGAAACCAATGACATTGAGGTCAGACGCGATCCTGAAGCAATTCAGTTCCTTCTCGAATATCTTCGATTATGTCTTCAAATTGAATTTCCAGGCACTTAACATGGACTTACGTATAATGAGAGAAAAGATGGTTCACTTGGAAGAGTCGCTTGCTGCTGAGAACAAACTGAAGCAGGAGCTGTTTCGTGCACTTGGCGATGCGAAAGCGAACAACGCTCACTTACAAAGTAAGAAGCTTATTTTTTAGACTAAATTTTTTGAGCATTCTATCTAGTTTTGTACTTGATTTTTGTTTCGTCTTTTATTTGTTTCTCTTTTTCTTATTCTGAAGACATCTTCACACTTCTGCATTTCTGTCTTTGGGTTCAACGTATTCCAAGTTGTTTTGCGAATTCTGTGAGTGTCAGGTAATCCATTGCAGGTCAGCTGCGAGCCTACGAAATCACATCTGGAATGCCCTTGTCGGTATCTGTCGCACGTCCACCTTCAACATCGCTTGCTCAGCAGGAAAAGGTTTCACCACAGCAACAACAGCCGCCTCAGCACAACCCCTACCAGATGCCTATGAGCCAGTCGCAGAAGATAGACTCAGCCATGGCGACAAGCAACGCTTCATCACACATGGGTGTTGCATATGGGAATCTGTAAGTTT